CTGCTGTGTCGCTCCAGGTCCTTGGGCTGCTACGTGTCCCTTCTGACAGATATCATGCGGCTGTTAGATTGCCCAGCAGTCAAAGCAAACAACACAGGAGGGTCCAGAAAAGGTCTTCCTACTGCCAGGGAATGAAGGACAGATTCAGCTCCAGGAAGAAGGAAGACTTCCTTAAACTTAGTTTTCCAGGTGGAAGGCAGAAACTGACATCACTTTATCAAGAAATTCAAAGCAAAGCTGAAAGGGATAACCTGATTTTGAAGATGGCAATACACTAATGGGGCTGTCCAGTTCTCCAGGTGACTGCTGTAACAGCCACAAGGCATGCTGCCTTCAAGGGCAAGGAGGATCCAGTGGTTTGAAGGGAAGACCCGTGAACATGCCCGAGAATCGGTCCCCTTTCAGGAATGCATAGCCAGTGGGCTACCACTGCGGTGGTTAGAAAAACTTGCAGAGAGCGAGCGGGGAGTTGCTAACTAAAGCAGAGCTCTGCGTCCTGCTATTCCAAAGATACTTTCGGTTAGGCAGGATTAAAATATGAGCCAGAAATGAGCAGTAAGCATACTACAGTGAGACGCTGATTCACCTAGAATAGGCCTGGATGGTTTTTTGCATTCAGAAGCATTGCTTGGGCCAGAGATGAACAGTGGTCCATCTGTTGTAGAAAACCATTCATTGTTCAGCGTTTTATGGAGGACCTGGAAAGGGGGGAAGCACATAGGACTGCAGCTCTGCAAGAAGCAGACTCTTTAAATGCCTCTAGTGGATAGATAAAAGAGGTCCTGAAACCAAAGCGGTGGCAAATACAGCACTGCCGGTTCCTTCTCCGCTGTTAAAGAGAACGTGCGACAGCAGTAGGATTGGGAAAAAGCCTGCACAGTTGGACTGACCATGGGCAGAGGAGCGTTTCCAGGAAGACAATCCTTGACGGCTGCCCGGGCTCCAGGGTACGCCTGCTTTGCAAGCCGGTCTTCTCCTGGCCGCTCCCAAACTGGACTTGGCTTCTCCTGCATGTGGATGCTTACAGCATCAGTGAGACAGCCTGCTGCACAGACGGGAGACGTGGGGAGACAGAAAACGTGCCAGACTGCTGTGCTCACAGGGGTGTTGGGTCAATGATCAGGAACGAGTCCCACGCTAGCTTTCATTTAAGGTGAAGTGGGAAAAGACTGAGAGGAAAAAAAAAAAAATAAAAAAATCCTGGCACACTAGGCTAGGTCTTTGCAAACACCAGCCATGAACTCGATCACAATGACTTACTAGCTAAGACAGTAAACCAAGCTTTTTACAAATAAAGAGATGTAAGCAAAACTCGTTTACTGGATGACCAGCAAGATGGGTGCCACAGGCTCAACACCCCAAACTTAACCTGTGAATAAGCATTCAGTTCAAAAGAGTTCATGGAGAAGCAGCCCTCTCCTCTTCCACTGGAGGTAATTGCTGCAAACCCCCTAGCATTGCTTTTTTAGTCCCTCTGAGCAGAAGAGAGCATAAAACAAATATTTAAAAAAAGCCAGCCTTGCAAAGTAACACATGCTAGGACAAAGCTTCTCTCCTCCTGGCAGGATAATTTGCTTTCACAGCTCATATGAATTAATCTGATATTAATCTATCAAAAAGCAGATGCTGGACATGAAGGCCCACCAGCCCAACCCACGCTGCCAGTATCTTGGCTTCCATGCACAGAACAGCAAACTCTCGACCTTTAGAGTGCCGAGGTCACAAAATGTTATTTACAGCTAAACCATGAATACAATTGGCAAGCAGACACAAGTAGTCAAAACCACGCTTCACACAGCGCGTTTGCTCTACCCCGCAGGAATTTGTTTCAACTTTCACCTGGAGAATCAGCCAAAATATTCAGAAAAAGCCAGAATTTCATAAACCTGCATTTGAAAAAAGAACAGTGAAATCCTTTTAGAGTTCAACTACACAGCGTAACTCACAAATGGAGAAAAGAAACAGAGAAACACACAATGGTGTTAATTGCTCACAAAACCGGATCTTTCTGCAGTTTACTTATTTTCCTGTGTTTATGTCTAAAATCCTAATCTCTTCTTAACATAGTAAGCAGCGAGAGGGATTTGCTAAGATTACTCTGTGTGAGAAAATGAGAAGCTAAGGTGTTTACTGGCTAAGGAGTAAAGATACTTGGAGAGCTGCTTTGAAACACAGTTCTTAAGGCACGCATTTTTTGCCATGTAGTTCTTAGTGGCAGCCAGACTGAACAGCAAAGCTGAAGGGGTTTCTTTTCAAATTCAAAGCAACCCTAGGCTTCAGCTGCAGCCTTAAAAATGCACAAACAGAAGAGGGATTTATTTTCACCTTTAATAGAAACGCCTTCGCTAGAAAGGAAGAAAATGGTGTCAAAAAAGCCAACATTTGTGGTACGAGAAACAATCACGTGAGCCTCTCAAGGGTAAGCTACAATGTGTGCCGACGGCTTAAGCAACACAGGGTGCAAGATGAGTCACTGCCGCGCTGTTCACGGAAGCTCGTTTTTTCACTGGTAACGTGGTAGAAAAGCATTAGGAAAATTCCAAACGCAAAACTTCCATTCTTTTTAGTTCTAGGGAAGGCATCAAGCAATCACTAGGTGATAGTGGCTCAAGCATAATCGTAGCATCATTCTTAATCCTGCAAGAACTTTATAATGGACAAATCAAAGTTCAAAACAAGAGGAAAGTATTTAAGGTATTTTAGTGGCCATCTTAGGATTCAGCTTGTAACCAGCTTTTAAGCACTTCAGGATTCATAAGTACAAGGCAGAGAATGAACTCAGTACAAGCTCCTGTAAACTTATGACCAGGCAGCACATTGCAGTATTTTAGATAAAATCGAAGTTGTTAGGTTGAAATCTTTGTAACACTTACTGTGAATTTATGCAATAAATCAGTAAAACTTCCGTAGATGTCGTAACAAGCTTCACTTGCATTTTTTCATCTGTTCTTGCAGCATCGAGACTTCAAGCTTCTGAAGTACAGCGGCAGGATATGCTGCTGCTTCTTGGTGGCAAAAGTATACAAACTGTAATTCTCCGTTCTGAGAGGAAAAAACCAAAAGATTAAAAGCCTAGCTAGAGTTTTGCTGAGCATGGGGTTTTTGCATTGATTTATTCCCACTGTCTATCCCTTTTCATGATCCATTTCTATAAAAACTGATCTCGCACTTTGACAAGATGGAGACACTTGCCCTAACTCCAGCAGCACATGGTCAGGAGCCCACTGAGTGGTCTAGGAACATCACCTAGAATTTGGGCGCCCCAGAACAAGACAGAATTGACTTACTGGACTGAGGGCAGCAGAAGGCTGCCAAGGTGATTAAAGAGCCAGAGCACAGGATGGAAAAGGCTGCAAGAGCTGGGTACATTCAGGCCTTAAGAGAAGGCTTTGGGAGGACCTAACTGCTGTCGTCAAATACCTAGTGGGAGGGTGTAGAGAAGACAGAGCCAGACACTTCTTGGAGGTGCCACAGTAGGGCAACAGGCAGTGGACACAAACCAAACACTGGAACTGGTGGCCTTAGAGAGGTTGTGGATCTCCATTCCTGGAAACATTAAAAGCTCAACCAGACAACAGCAGCATGATCTAGGCATACCTGCTTTGAGGAAGGTGATGGACCAGATGGCCTCTGGAAGTCCCTTCCACCTTAAATTATTCTATCAATCCCACACACAGGGCTTTTATGCCAGTGATGGTCTCTGGGTGGTCATGTAAGCCAAGCACATGCTAAGATCTTTTGTTTTGCTTTTAAATTCATCTGCTAATTCCTTAATTTTTATATTTTTAATTCGTTAAAACATAAAATATCAATGTAAATCACAAGTATGAAATTTTAAAACTGAAGTGATGACTGAGCACGTTGCTTTGAATACCGGTGGCATTTTGTCTGGATTTTAACACACTACTACACGATGTGAGATGTACCAATAGCCAAACTTGAAAATGCAAAGCACGTATTCAGGCATGGCATTTTATTAAGATGTCAAATATTTTGTGTTAGCAGTCAGTCAATCATTGAAAACAATCTGTACACATCCAATCTAGTCAGCAAAAATAGCTGTAAAACTTTACACGATATGCCCCATTTATATAGCTCATTATGCTCTGAAGTGATTCTATTCATTGTTCAAGTCCCCACAAAAACAATTACCAGCTTTTACATATATTAAAAGTAACATTACATTCTGCTCTCAAAAGTACAAAAAAATAACACTTTAAATATACACTGGCTCCTAAGCTTAGACCGAGTCTTGTCCGGAAGAGACTTCCACACTTCAATAGACAGCGCCTTCAAGATCAAGAGCTCTTCAAAGTGCTTGGCAGACCGTGCGAACGCTATCCCCACTTACCAGATGATGAAACTAAGGCACAGAGGTCAACTGCCTTGCCCACAGTCACATAGAGAGTGAGTGGTAGAACTAACAGAGCAGAATTTGGGCTTTTCAGTCGTCCAGTGTAACCACCGCATCTCATTGCCACCATTCCAGTGCAATGGCTAAAGCGTTTCTGAGGAGCAAAACAACTTGTACGGATACAGTAACAGAAGGGGCAACCCAGGGCCAGTCAAAGGCTGCAACAATTTCAACCCAACCCAAACAAATTTGGTAGTCAATAAGGACTAATAAGATCATAAATAGTAAGTAATAAAGGTCAGTAAGACAATTAAGGGAACGATCGCATAGGAAATTATACATTAACCTGCAGAGGGAAAGCTCATTACACATAAGACATATGGTGTAAGCTCTGCAAAAAGCACTGGTTATCTTAAGCTTGACAGTACCTCAGGAAATGTTGACTTCAGAGAAGTCACACCTTCTGATCAGCAGACATCTTAAACACTGTTCTTCTGCCAGCAAGGTACACTTCTCTGCAGAGTCACACAGAAATGGAAATAAGGGGCCAAATATCTCCTCAGTAGGCATGGATGTGTATGAGGCACAAAAACCCACATTAATTGCTTATGAGGTATGGACTAAGTGGTAGAGAAATACCAATCTGGAAAAATAAAAAAAAGTCTAAAATAAATAAGGGCAAGAAAACCAAAAGCCACCCATCAAAAAATCACCAAGAAATGCATCTTCAGATAGATTATGCCGCAGAAAAGAAAGCACGATGCGTGTAATCGCTGCCTGGATGAGAAGCATGCTATAGCCTAGCCCTCTGATGACAAACAAGCATTTCAGAAAGCTTGGCCTTGAATAGGATGCTCATGAGATGACTCATTTACTGACAGAGACTGCTGATGGGATTCAGAAACGTGTACGCTTTGATTCTGTTCTTCACCAAGTTGATGGGAAGGAACTGTCTCTTGGCTAGAGTGAGACTGCTGACTTGATTCCTGAGTCAACTGCACATGCTGAGCTGGATGTGAAGATCCTGCTAAGTGGATTTCTTCATTTTGTTGTTGATGAGCATGCAGATGTTCAAGTGCTTCCTTGGAACATGCATTTGTTCAGGTTGGGCAGTCTCTATTTGGTTCGCAATCATATTGATACTTTGGATCTGTTCCGCTTGCTCCGGCTGAGCTGAAAGCAACAAGTTTTGCAACTGCTGTGGTGGCTGAGCAAGCAGCGTGAGGTTAGCAGCCTGCTCTGTTGTCATATTTGGGGCATTTTCTGCAGTAACAATACTAATGCCTTGATTATGACCAGGCATGAAGTTTATATTATGTACTGCATCTGTAACCAGTAGTTGAATTTCCTGCCCTCCAGAGGTGGCAAGCTGATACTGCTGCAGCTGAAGAATGTTTCTCACTTCTGAATTAGCGTTGGTGCTTGGAACAGCGCTGGCTTCCTGAAACTGCTTTTCCTTGCTATGAATTTTCAAATGAGACTTCAGGTTGTCCAGACGAGCAAATTGCAAACTACATTCTGGGCAGGAGAAAGGCTTTTTGCCTGTGTGTAAGATACAGTGTCTTCTCTTAGCACTGGAATCGGAGAAGGATTTTCCACATATACCACAAGAATATGGCTTTTCTCCTCTGCAAAATAATGTATTTGATCTCATTACAATATTCACTTTGACAGTGCTGCTTTCTGCAACTTAGTATAGAATAAAAAATTTAAATTACTAAATCATAAGCACTTAAGAATAGTGATGTTAAGAAGTTCTCTATTTGACTTCCAAATTATTTCTATTCAACTTCACAAACTGTACTTTCCTTAGTATATACTCAAGAGCTACAGAGATAACATAATTGCCTTCCTGTTGTAATACCAGAGGTAAAATTCTATGCTGCTAGAATGCAACAACTTACTTTACACAACTGTAAACGCTGACCATTTAAAGAACGTTTATTAATAGTGTGGACTTGAAAAAAAGTGTCCAAATCCTAACATGCTGCCCGACTCAAAGGGACAAGAGATTTTATTGGAAACATTTTCTTTTACATAAGGCCCACAACAGCTCTCCAACGATTTAAAATCTTACACGCCTTTATGCAATATATCACGCTGACATGGGTAAAAGATAACGCATGCTATTAAAGAGACATGATAGACTACAGGGAAACAGGACAATGCTCCAATAACCTTGTTACACCACGGCTATTGTTCTGCTGCCAAACAAAAATTCACAGTAAAGTTTTCACGTAGCTAATATAGCAGTAAGTACATTGTCATTAAGCAGATACAATACACAAGAAGAATCTTAACAATGCCTTGGCACACTAGTATTTAACAGTGCAGTACTTTCTACTACCAATTATTTCTTTAAAGAAACAAAAATGTCAAACTTTAACCATCTATCCAAAATGCAAACAAGCCCTGACCATTCTATAATTGAACAAACACCACATACAGGTATCAGATTAGAAGTTACATTTTTAAAGAATGTAATGAAAATTAAACATACTCTACCTGTGAATTCTAATGTGAGTCTGAAGAGAGCTTTTAGCTGTAAAGGATTTGCCACAAATTTCACAGGTGAAGGGCTTCTCACCTATCAAAAAGAAATTTGACGTCACTTCCCATCAATATAGTAAAAAAGTTTTATATTTTACCATACAGTATCAAGCGTGTACTGCAAATCCTCATGCTTCTGACATGGGTCAGGACAGATACCTGAAACTGAATTAGCTCACTAGTTAAACAAGGGTATAGTATTTTAAATGTACATCTCCCCTTTCAAGGTAAAGAATTAGGTGATCCAAGCCCTCAGAACAACAAAACACATACCTATGATACAGAAGCGGGTATTCTCCGTGGAACAGTCCAGCCTGAAAAAGGCTGACCCTGAACTAGTAGGCATGAATGCTATGCTCATGTGCAGCACCATGCAGATGAATAAGCCTGTATTTCCAAGCCTGAAGAGTGAATCCATTATCTTAAGAAGTCAGCTGGCTTCCTACAAGGCTCCATCCTAGGCCTACAATACCCTGGGAACACCAGTCAGAGAAAAATTAAATTATGGTGGGTTGAACAAGTTGTGGGTGGTTTGTTTGTTATAGTGCGCTTGGAATTCTTGTGTCTAATTGAGTAGAAGCAGAGGAGCCAAATTAAATAACAAAAAGGTTCACAAGAAACAGATACTACCCAACAAAAGCGAACCTTAATTCACACCATAACATATCCTTGTTGCATTCAGCTTCTTTAAGACGCTAGACATGAGAATCCGGATCACCACAGTGGTAATTCACACCATCGAAGCACACTGAACTGGGGATGGGGCAGCAGCCACTTTCCAAGGAAGCTTCACATTTAGTATAGAACTGCAACGCTTATCAGCTTTCCTATGGTTTCAGAGGGCAGGGGCAACACATGAGACAACAAGAAACTTTTGTCAGAAGGGACCTCTCATCATCTAGTCCCAGCCTCCTACTGAAAACAGGAGTAACTTCCCAAGGAGACTGTATTCTTAAGACATTCTTTTGCCAAAGCAGAAGTCGTATCAACATTGACGCCTGTCCCCAAACTCCTCTGAATTTTACTTCTTGCTTTTGAGATGGGACAGATCAACTGTTATTTCTGCATTGTTAATACCAGTATCTGGCCTGTCTCTTCTGGAAGCAAACTACATTGTAAGCCAGTTACTGCTAGAACTCATCTTAATTGATCTATTTTTGCAACTTACTTTGCTACTATGCTTTCTCTTCTCATTTCCCACTACATTTATAGAGCTGTATCAGCTTCAGATACAAAACTGTTGTGTGTGTCAACAAACATTATGTTCTCCCCAATAGAAAATGCAGTATTTAGAAGTACTGCAAGTTAACACTATTCTGAATAGACCCCAAACTCCCAAAGGCACAAGTTCTGGCCTCATCCTATCCCAAGGAATTTAAAGCTGTGTTATCTTCACTAGTAAAGAGAAGGAAACAAATGAGATACATAACTTGATCTTGTGCATACTTCACTACAACCACAGGCAACACATGTAAGAATAATTTGATTTCTGGAAGACATGACTGCCACTGTTTATAGCTATTTTAAAAGAAAAAAATATTTACAAGCCATCTTATGAACTTAGCCTTCAACAAAAACTATTTTAAGAAGCTTATGCCTTGTTATCATGAGACTGTAGATCAACATTTTTATCCTTGTTATCCAGCCACTCAATTATCACCTTGCCCTCTAAGTCTCTTAAAACACCCTCTGATACACTTGCATTAAATCGTCCCTCCCAGCCCACCTCCTGCCAACGTCTGCTTTATTCCAGCAAAATAAAAAGGTAAATGGCAATAATTATTTTTCTGGTAAGCAGCATTTTTCATAAGCACCCATCCCTCACAAGCAGGGATGCCCAACTCATTTAGGGCATATGCTTTCTGTTACTACTTAGCTGACTTCAAGCCCCATACATGTTGGATGCGGATCTCCTGATAAACTGAATTCCCAGGCTAGGATTCTATCACAGAAGAGCTAACTGGCATTTTCTGCAGCAGGCTTTATAAGAACAGGGGGAAAAAAGCTCTTCCTATAACAGGCACTGCTTCTGCACTGTTGTACTACAAGGCTTTTTGTGCTCCTGCATTCCTGATGTCAAATCCCTTCGTTAGTGATACAGGCATCATCACGTACAAGTAGAGCAGAAGTTCATCCCGCAGAGACAAGTGTCATTTGCCTAACTTAGTTTTGTCTGTGTTAAAAGAATAAAAAAATACCCCACAACAAAACATGACGGACAATATTACCTGTATGTGTCCTTAGATGTTTCTTTAACTGAGCTGCATCCATGAATTTGCGACGACACTGGTTACATTCCGGCAGTGAATGGCCTTGTCGCAATAATAAAAAAAGTGTCAGTGCATAAGTGATCCCCTGTATCTCTTCAGTGATCTTTGTTAAAGCACTTTCCTGTAAAATAACCACTTTGATATAATATAGAGATAAAACAAAAGGTGATTCACTGCCTCCTCCCTATCTTAATTGTCACATCCCTATTTCTCTGTTTGATATTATCATGGGAAATTTATTTCAAAGCTTTGTGAATTCTGATTTTTTGTACCACTTCCTGCGTGTGTAGTTTAATCTCCATCCTGCTCCAGAAGTGGACGCTTCTTAAAGCTCATTTGCCTTCGCTAGTCCAAAGTAGTGGGAAACTACAAGGCAATCTGTACAACAGGCAGCGGACACAACCGTTTATACAATTCCTAGCTTCTATGTAACAGAGACAGCAGGGCTAAAATAATCTAGTTGTATGTCAAATACAGTGTAACTAATTTTTAATTGTCTTAAAAGTCCTTCTCAATTAACTGTTTTTCTAAGCATTCCATTTATTATACACCACTCTGTCTTTTTCATCCTATTCGTTGTTATATCAAGATACCACGCATCAGGGTAGCAGAGATTAAATACATCACTGAAGAAGAATTTTCAGCCTTAGTCAATCTCTAGAAGGACAAATCAGCATGGACTGTAAGCCAGCTCTTCTACCCAAAGTTGTTATACCTGTGTGTACGCGATAGTGGCTCTTGAGCTGTCTCTTTTGGCTGAAGTATTTCCCACACTGATCGCATGTAAAAGCCTTCTGCCCTGTAAAGGAAATCACTTATTACAATATAGGCCACATCCCAAGGGAGCGTAAGGAAATAAATAAACCAGCACACACCAGAGAGAGCAGAAACACCTTTTTTCAGGAAAGCAAACTCTTCGGGAAGGAGAGGTTACATTTTTCTTGAAATATTTACCTGTATGTAGGCTCATATGCTCCAGAAGAGAATGCTTTGTTGTCAGAGCCTTACTGCAGACAGTGCACGTGTATGGCCGTTCTCCAGTGTGCATCCGCTCGTGGACTTGAAGAGAATGCTTCTGGGAAAAGCCTTTGCCACACTCGCTGCACTTAAAAGGGCGTTCCCCTAAAAGCAAGAGATGACATTTGTAAGTACAGATGCATTATTTCTCGCTAGATATTCTAAGCTGATAGCAAGATGCATTGCAACATGGTAGCTACTAAAAAATTACTTTTAAGTAGTGATAAGGCAAATTAAGAAACAAGCTTCACATAGCAATGAAGTATTGCCAGATAATTCAACATTTAAACAGAGAAATGATTAACTAAACTGCAGTCAAGGTAGCACATGAATGCTACGAGATCTGCCGACCAGAATAAAGCAGCGAGCACAGTCTCAGAGACACACCATAACAATTTGGATCAGCATGCTATTTTGGACAGCTCTTGCTGAAGGCAACAGCCCATGCTTCAACAACTAGCTCGCATTCAGCAACAAGTCACTAAACCCTAACCCAAACACAGCAGTCTCTTAGTGCCTACCTGTATGACTCCGCTGATGAATAGCCAAGAAGTGATTATATTTAAATACTTTGCCACAGTCCTTACAGCGAGCTTCAGAACCTGCACGTTTCCTTTTTCCATCGGTTCTCTTTGCCAGTCCTTTTTCATCCTCATCCCCGAGAAGTTTGTAATCTTTTAGTTTGATTGATCTCCTTATTCTACGTTTGCTGTAACGGCTCTGAGTGCTCTGTATTCCTTCAGATTTAGGATCATAATTCTCGTCTTTCTCAGCTGACAGATCAACAGCACCTTCTGAGCCACAAGCAGGTTCACTTTCTTCTGCATCTTTCCTCACTGGAGCCTGTTCGCTGACAACTGTTTCTTCCTCTGCGGTGTCATTTTTCATAAAATTTTGCTTATTTTGCACAGAGTTGTTCTCTCTCAGCTGCACATCTTCGGCAGAATTTGCAGCTGATTTTTCTTCTTGGACATTCCTGATTTTCCTCGGCCGCCCTCGTTTTCGCTTTGGCAGATCTTCATTTTTCCTGTCGCTGGCAAGAGTGGCTACAGAGGCTCCGCTGTTTGCTGGGGCTGGTAACGCATTGCTTGGGCTCCGGCTGGCCTGATAGTCTGTACAGGCCCATACCAAGTCATTCACTTTCAGCAGCTGTGCAGTAGCCAGAATTTGTTCTGTGCTTTTTTCACTGGCACGGAGGCAACCGGTGTAGATAAATTCTAGCAGCGCTCCAAAGGTGTCTGCAACCATTCCCTCCAACATGTAAATTGACTGCCCTATTTCACCCTCATCTACAAACATCATTGAGAAGTATTCGCTGCTGGCGGCAAGCAAAGCTTTATGGGCTCTGAACTGCACATTCTCCACTATTAGGGTAATGTCGCAAAGAAAATCCTTTTTCCTTTGTTCTTCAAAGTTAGCTAGAATGGTATCTTTGTGAGCTTTGGAGTGGATGACAACCAATTTCTCAGAAGACTCAGGAGCCGTTTCTGCCATTTTTATTGCGCATATGAATGGAGGTGCCTACAAGAACAGAGTAGCTTTAATTAAGAACTATTGTAGAAGTCCGCATTATAACGTGCCAAATATCATCTGGTTTACCAGTCAGAGCTCAACAGTTTCTGAAGCAATTCTGAAGCCTCTGAACTGTCTTTAAAAAAAAAAATCAACACTAATGCGGACACAGACTTCCTTCAAAAAGTGTTTTTAAATCCTAAGAAATGGCTACAGAGAGCTGCTGCTTAGATTGGCATTACTGCCTATTATTTCATTTGTTTATCTCTGATTTACTGTGAACTGTATAGCATCTAAGAAAATGGCTACCCCTTCTGAAAACTCCTTTCACAACTAAAACAATCGAACAAAGAGAACTCTTTGTTCACAGCTCCTTCGTGGAAACAAATTATAATAAAAAAAACGGTCAACAGCAGCTTCCTCCCTGCAGATGCCACATTTCAGATTTTTCAGGGACAAGGCTATGAAATCCTGTAATCAATGCTAAAACTTCACTGGCATCAGTGTGGCAGGACTTCATGCCTTCTTTTACCCATTTCTATCCTTCTTAAAATTTCTCTTTCGGAAGACCTACCTGCTAAGCTTCAGCCTATGGAGGTGGGCAACAAAAGCAGAAAAACAGCAGCTTTTTCCAAGAGCTCTGTCTAAAATAGGGTAGGCTATGCTAACTATTAACCGCCAAGCTGGCTTGCTAAGCTTCTTCAATTGTAAATATACAAAAATTAAGAACAAGCAATAAAAAAAAAAAACATCCTGCAATTTCAGAAGAATCCATCTAATGATACTATGGAAGAGATGTGCCAAAAATGCCCATTTCAAGAGGATCAGCTGAACCAAACATGAAACAGATTAGCTACCTGGCATCTTAAAACATAAAGCTGTCATTTTAAATACAAACATGTATTTAAATACAGCAATCAGTAAGCACGACAGTTCTGATTACTGAAGGAATGCTGTAAGAAACCATGCAGACTATGTACAGATGTAACCTAAACACTACGGAGGTGGCCAACAAGCGATTCTTTAGCCCCACTCAGCTACCAAACGGTTCATGCCTGTGCCATATGGTGTATCTGGGAACCTGGATTTCTGAAGGATGTAAGCCTGGTGTGGCCGGAGCACCCTAATGTGCGGCTGTAGGCCTGACCCAACCCTGCCTCACAGGGGATTACAGGAACTCCTGAAGAGCTGCTGCCAACTCTGCCTGCAGGCAGGCCCTGACCCTCCACAGGTGCCTCACACGGGGGCTGCAGGCAGGCCCTGACCCTCCACAGGTGCCTCACACGGGGTAGCCAGTGTTTGTGGGTTTTGGTCATGTGAAGGTCTTTGGTATTGGATCACGAGGTGACATCGTTACTGTTTTGGCTGCAAAATCTAAACCAGCACGCTCACCTAAAAAAAAAAAAAAGAAAAACCAAACAAAAGCACCACTCTAGCGCGAG